TTGGGATTCATGCCAGGAAGTTGAGCCTTGCAGTTCAGAGTTTGGGTGGTGACGAAGAAGTTGAGGAGGAAACAGATCAGGAAGAAGAAGAAGGAGCACCGGAGACCGCTGAAGTTGAAGTAAGTGAATCAGACGGTGAGGAACGCCGTAGAAGGGAAGAAGTTCACACCAAGAGAGGACAGGATGTCGCCTCTTTGCTTCGTTAGCAGAACAGTTTGATCACCGAGGGTTTTGCGTTTGTGAGGTCGCAGTTTGCCGCAGTGCATCAGAGGCTTGATCGGTTTGAAGCTAGTTCTAGTCACAGAGTTGAAGCCGAAGAAGAAGAGTCTGAAGAGGCTGAAGAGTCTGAAGAGGCTGAAGAGTCAGAGAGTGAAGAGTTCTAGTGGTGTTGTGGTAACCCCGTTCGTTTCTTTCTCTGTTGTTTCTTAGCCTTTGTAGCTTGGTGTTTGGTTGTTGTGTGCTTTGTGTGCTTGCTTGCTTTGTTTGTTGCCTTGTTGTTTAGCTAGTGTGTTAGTTGGTGTTTGGGTTGGTTGTTTAGTTCTTGGTTGTTGTCTAGAAGTTGGTTGTTGTGTTGAGGTTAGAGTTCTTGATGCCAATCTATCCGTTTGTTGACCTCTTGCCAATCCTTGAAATCGTAATGTCTTTTTCTTTGCCTTAGAACCTTGTGAGAACTTTTGGAGTTTTTGACCAAAAGGGATATTCTTGAAACTTCTTGTCACAATTTTGTTTCCTTGTTACCTTTCGTTTTTAATTCGTTGTACCCAAGTTTCGGGGACGAAACTTCTTTGAAGGGGGAGAGGATGTGACACCCCAAAAATCCACACTCCAAACCATGAATTAATTGAGTAATTAATTCTATTTCTTTTGAGGAATTGATTCCTAAAATCCTGATTTTTGATACTCAAGGACTAGTATTTGACTAGTCAATCTTTAAGTGGTGTTGTACCTTGTGCTTTGAGAGGAGTTCCCTTGTTCCTTACACTTTCTAAGAGTTAGTAAGGGTATCCTTGTCTTTTCACCAAGAGCTAGTTTTGTAACCGAAACCTAGAAGACTTCTTCACTTCATTCCCTTACATTTCCTAGAAAATATCTCTACCTTCTCTCTAGAAAACAAGAGTAGCTTGTTCTTCAAGCCAAAAGAAGCCTTTGTCAAGATTCCAAGTTTTGCTTCCAAGATTCAATCTTTCCTCTATTTTGGCATCTAGAAGGGTAAGATCTAAGCTTGTCTAGTCTTTTTGGTTCCATCTTGGTTGTCTTTTTCTTAAAGGTTGGATCTTTATGATCTTTTGGTTTGATCTTGAAGTGGGTTTGGCTAGTGAGCTTAGTGGAGAGCTTGTTGTGGTGTAAGAAGAGTCTTTTGGTCTTCAAGAGGTAACCCATGCTCTACAAAACCTATTTTGCTTACCTATATATGATTTCTTGGCTTCTACTTGTGTTTTGATATGAAATGTGAGAGTTTATGCATTTATCTTGTGATATTGCATATCTAGAGCTTGTGTTTAGATTTCCTTTGTGCCATTGCTTGGCATCTTCCTTGGTTCAAGTCATTTTGTTGTGCTTGGTGAGATTTGGCATGTTTTGGACTTGAATTTGTGTTTGGAGAAGAAAATCCCCGAAAGGATTTGTTGTTGTGCAGGGATGTACCCGCGGGCGGAACGGCGAGCGGGGCACCACCCGCCGGCCTACCCGCGGGGAACATGTGCCTTGTGCGTAGTGTACCCGCGGGCGGGACCACGGGTGGGGCACTACCCGTGGGTCCACCCGCGGGGTACACGGTGGTGTTAGATCGGGATTTGTTCCCTGTGATTTGTTTGTCTTGGTCTTTGATCTTTTGGCCTCCCGTTGTTCTTTTGTGGAACTATTTGAGCGTCTTCTTGATGTTTCGTAGGTCTAGAGCTTTATGGTAGGTATCCATGTAGGATCTTTGGTGTTGTGTATCGTGCTAAGTGTTCAACATTGTGTTTCGTTGAACCGTGTGGTGTCTTGTGTGTTCCTCGGAACTATCTTGAGTTTGATCGTTGTTGAGCTTGCTAGTTATTATCTTAATGCTAGCGTCGTTGTTGTCGATGGGTGGTGACCTGTCTCTTGATTGAGTATGTTTCATACCTCTTTTTCAATCCGTTGCTTATTTCGTGTGAGTGGTGGTGCGTGTGTGGCTCTACCTGGATTGCACGATTAGTGGTATGGGACGCTAGTCACCAAGGTATTGCAGCGGTCCTCGTGGTGGCCGTGACGTGATTTCATGGAGTTGTGGCTGAGTCCACGTGTTTGGGGGATAACATTGTGTTATCCGGGCATGTGTTGCTGTGAATTGGTGGGTTTTCGTTGGTGGTTATAGGTGGGGGACGACGGTCCCGGAGGAATAAGGTTGGACTTGGCTGTACAGGGGCTTTCTGGAGGTAATGGTTGGCACCGAAGGTACAAGGTTGGGGGTAGCCATAAGGTTGGAACAGGGCATAAGGAGGGCATATCAACTCGTGATGTGTGATGTCACGAGGGCTTGTGAAGCCGTTGTTGTGGTGAGTTTTCTTCTCTCGTGACGTGTGTAGTCACCGAGGCTTGTGGTGTGGTGTTTTGGCATGTGTTGCCGTTGGGTGAGTCTTTATCCTTGTGTGTGGTTAACCTTCGTGGTTTGGGATGTGTTCCCGATTTTATCCTTGTGAGTGGTTAGTCTTGTGTTGTCTTTTGATCTTGGCTTTTGACTTGTATATATGTATTCCGTTTCGAAAATGGTTTTTATATTATATATCTACCTATTTATGATACTTAACGGTATTGGTAGGTTACCAGCATCTTTCGCTGACCGGGCGTCGCCCCGATGTTTATCTTTGTATCTTTCAGGTGATGCGTAGTCGAGCGCGATGTCTAGAGCCGGTAGCTTAGCACCTGTATCTTTAGACAGTGTTGTTGAGGCCTGTGTGCCAATGTCTTTAGATTGTTCTAGTTTGTTGTTTTTGGAATAGTGTTACACTTGCAGATTGTCGCCGTAGCGTATACCTAGTGTGGTATACGTGGCATAACACCCCGTTTGGATTCCTTTTATCCAGTTATCTTTTTATCTTCCGCTGTGCTAGTGTTTGTTGTTAATCTGCATGTGTGAAGACTCGTTTTAAGTCTTGTTGTTTTGGGGGGTGTTACAGAAGCGGTGCTGCTGGGAGTCATCGTGGTAATCAGCAACCTTTTAGAGCACGTGGCCAACAGCGTGGTAATCAGCAGCGCTCATGGAATGGTATTAGTCCACGTTGCCAAATTTGTGATCTTGTGGGTCACACAGCCATCACGTGCTATCATAGATACTCGGACAGTGCTCAGGCAAACATGGTGTATCAGGATGAGTCTAGTCCGGGTGCTCAGAGTTGGTTCCCTGACACGGGTGCCACTGATCATGCCACGCCCGATATTTATGCCCTTATTACCTCTGAGGACTATATGGGTAATGACACTTTATGTGTCGGTAATGGTAAGGCCTTGTCAATTTCTAGTGTTGGGCATACTTCGTTTTCTACCCCGTATAGGTCTTTTACTATGTCTTGTGTTCTTCATGTTCCTAAATTGTCTGCGTCTTTACTTTCGGTTCAGAAATTTGCCTCTGAAAATAACGTGTTATTTGAATTTCATCCCTCGTTTTTTGTTGTGAAGGATGTCATAACCAAGGAGGTCCTTCTTCGGGGTAAGATCACAGGTGGTCTCTATTCATTGCCCGTTTCTTCGTCTTCATCTTCTTCGTCTGCGTTCTTGTTTGCTCGTGCGTCGTCTTCCGTTTGGCATAGGCGTTTGGGTCATCCTCATCAGCGGGTTCAGAGTCACATTTTAAAGTCATGTTTGGTTAGTCAGTCTGGTCGTTTACATTCGTTATGTAATGCGTGTCAATTGGGGAAATCTGCGCGTTTCTCCCTATCTCGTGTTGCGTCTTCTAGTAGTGAGTGTTAGACTTGGTTTACACTGACATTTGGGGCCCTGCGCCTGTTTTCTCTGTTAGTGGATATCGTTATTTCGTTATCTTTGTAGACGATTATTCTCGTTACACATGGTTTTATCCTATGCGTTTGAATTCTAATATATATGTCATTTTTGATCGTTTCCGTGCTTTGGTTGAGCGTTCATTTAATTGCCGTATCCAGGCTATACAATCTGATCTTGGTGCCGAGTATAAGAAATTACACTCTTTATTTCTTTCCCTTGGTATTAATCATCGGCAGTCCTGTGCTTACACTCACGAGCAAAATGGTCACGTTGAGCGTAAGCATCGGCACATTGTTGAAACTAGGCTCACTTTAATGGCTCATGTGTTTGTCCCATCTCGTTTTTGGGACTTTGCGTTTGAGTCTGCTGTCTATCTAATCAATAAAATGCCTACGTCTGTTCTGCAAAATTCCAGTCCTCACTTTCTGTTACACAAGTCTCCGCCGTCTTACTCTTTTCTGCGTGTATTTGGTTGTCTGTGTTACCCTCATCGTCGTCCTTATAATTGTCACAAAATGAGTTTCAGGTCTGCTCCGTGTGTCTTTCTTGGGTATCCTAAGTCTTTTAAGGGGTATCGTTGTATGGATCTCAGCACTAACAAGGTCTTTATTTGTAGGCATGTTCGTTTTGACGAGCATGTATTTCCTTTTGCTAAGCCTGTTTTGCAGAAAACTGTTGAGGGTCTGGTGCAGCCATGGGCTTTTTCACGGGTGGTGCCTCGGGTACCTCGGGCTATGACTATGTCTTCTGTGGTGCCTCCTGTTGCTACTCCACCTGCTCCGCCTGTAGTTCGTGCTCGGGTGCCTCGGGCGCCACGAGCTTCATCTCAGCTGCCAGTTCGACCACCTGTTGTGATGGGGAGCAGGTCTAGGGCTGAAGGTGCTGTTCTAGTTGCTTTGTCTGCTGAGGTGTGTCGTGCAGAGCCTACTTGTTATACACAGGCTGTCAGGTTTCCAGAGTGGAGAGAGGCTATGGACGCAGAGTTTAATACCCTCATGTAGACTCAGACTTGGCGGCTTGTGCCCTATTGTGTAGGCATGAATGTTATTGGTTGCAAGTGGATCTTCCGTACTAAGCGGAAGGCTGATGGCTCTATTGACCGACACAAGGCGCGTTTGGTGGCTAAGGGGTTCAACCAGGTAGCTGGGCAGGACTTCTTCGATACGTTCAGCCCCGTGGTTAAATCGACCACGGTTCAGTTGCTGTTGTCTTTGGCGTTAACCTCGGGCTGGGTCATTCGCCAGCTTGATGTGCATAATAGGTTTTGGAATGAGGCGTTGGCTGAGACAGTGTATATGCGCCAACTGCTTGGGTATGCTGATGACCAGTTTCCTACTCATGTGTATTTGTTTCAAAAATCGTTATATGGTCTCAAGCAAGCTCCTCGGGCTTGGTTTAACAGGTTGCATACGTTTCTTCTGTCTGTTGGTTTTTGTCCGTCGAAAATAGATGTCTCTGTTTATCTTTTCGCAGGGGGAGCTACGGTGTATTTGCTGTTTATGTGGACGACATCTTGGTTATGGGTAGTGATCCGTCCTTGGTGTCCACTCTCATATCCAAGTTGTCTACTACCTTTAAGATTCGCGATCTTGGTGCACCGGGTTTTTTCTTAGGCATTGAGACGGTTCGCAGTGATACTGGTATGCTTCTTTCTCAGAAGCGTTATATGGTGGATATACTCAAGCGTTCGGGTACGTCTGAGTGCAAACCACTGGCAACCTCGGTTCCTGTTTCTCGTCTTGTCGCTGGGTTAGATGCGCCATTTGCCGATCCCACGAAGTACAGGAGTTTGGCTGGTGCCTTGCAGTATCTCATGGTAACTCGCCCTGAATTATCTTATGCGGTTAATTTATTGTGTCAGCACATGCATGCCCCTACGGATGCACATTGGACTCAGCTTAAGAGAGTGTTGCGGTATGTTAAGGGACTTTACACTATGGTTTGCAGCTGCGTAAGTCTTCTAACGCCGATATTCATGCCTTCTCTGACTCGGACTGGGCTGGCTGCCCTACGGATAGGAAATCCACGAGTGGATTTGCTGTTTTTCTGGGTTCTAATCTCATTTCGTGGGTCTGTAAGAAACAACGTACAGTGGCTAGATCTTCTACTGAAGCTGAGTACAAGGCTCTTGCTGATGTCTGTGCTGAGGTCACTTGGGTTGTTGCGCTGTTGCGTGAGTTAGGTGTGTCCTTTGTGACTGTTCCGAGATTGTGGTGTGATAATTTAGGTGCCACCTACATGTGTGCCAATCCAGTCTTTCATGCCCGTACGAAGCACATTGAGATTGATTATCACTTCGTTCGTGATAAAGTGGCTGCAGGTGATTTGCAAGTTAATTTTATTTCAACTAAGGACCAGTTGGCAGATATATTTACCAAACCGCTTGCTGCTCCGCGGTTTGTGTTCTTACGTGACAAGTTGCAGGTCGTTGCTCCAACCTGAGGTTGAGGGGGAGTGCTAGGACTCTTATTGTGTTACAGTCCTAGTACGCTTATATATCTGTATTTTGTATATACTCTTGATATGTAATCCTGTACATTCTGATGATTGAATATACAATCCTAATCGTTACTACTACCAATGTCGTCTATAAAGAGATTTTCAATAATGTATAATTCAAGTCATTGATATTATGTTTTTTTTTTACATACAAAGATGACAAAATTGCTATATATCTACAGAGAAAATAATCTTCCGTATAAAACATTTCTATAACTGAGTTGCTAGACAACGAGCTAATTAGCCCAATTAATACAAATTCTAAACACTGATATATAAAATCTCAAGAGTTGCAGCACTGAATGCGTATATCTACACGTTAACTATTAATTGGGAAATTATTTACTCGAATTCAAGCATTCATAACATCATAAAACATAATCGGTGCAACTCAATTCTTCAATTATATTATATAATATTCGATGTTATAATTTATACAATTGTATATCGATCTAAATGTTTTTAAAATATTATAACATATTCATGTCGTGCAACGCACGGGCGCAAATACTAGTTAAATAAAATCTATTAATCGGTAATATTGCATAATTGGTAATATTATGTGTGGTATTATGTATATAATATAATTGTTAATATTATTGTTCAAGTATAATAAAAACCCTATGTAATAATGTAATAATACAAAAATAAAATAAAAATAAAAACAATAACAACAAAAACAACAACAACAACAACAACAACAACAACAATAACAATAATAATAATAATAATAATAATAATAATAATAATAATAATAATAATAATAATTCAAACAAAACTATATACAAAATAAAATTAAAATTAAAAAAATAAGAAGAAGACAATGGTGGCTCCCCTTTGTTAATGATTTGAGAGCATTTTGATCCCGCATTGAAAATGTTTACAAACATATAATTGCTTGCCGATCAATGTGGGCAAGTATTGAGAAGTCCAAAGGCTTTTTTTTTTTTTTAAAGTACTATTGACCAGACAAATTATGTCGTGGAACTGTGTCCACCTTGCAAGGTAGACACGGTTCAAAAATTGTTCATAATTATGAATATATAGTTCAAAAATTATGAACATATAGTTCTATAATTATGAACATAGTGTTGTGAACGTAATTATGAACATATAGTTATGTAATTTTGAATATAGATATTCAATAATTGTGAATATGAAGTTCAAAAATTATGAATATATATTTTTATAATTATGAAGATATAGTTCAATAACTATGAACATAGAGTTCTGTAATTATTAATATAGAGTTCAATAATTATGAATTTGAAGTTCAAAGATTATGAATATATAACTTTATAATAATGAACATGTAGTACAGTAATTATGAACATATAACTGTGTCCACCTTGCAAGGTGGACACGGTTCCACAACCTAACTATTCGATTGGCCCTGTTACATGTAAACTTTTTCAACTTATTGAAGCCCAACTTGTCAAAAGTCTCTTATTTAAGAGATCTTATCTTAATGGCTTCGTATTTTAATTTTTTTTATTAATTTTTTTTTAATTTATTAGGGGGTTTGAGAAAGATGAACCCAAAATGTATATGAGTTTTTAGTTTTTAGCAGTTTGGAGCAAATTGCTAAATTATTAAATAATATTTTTAGTGTTTTGATTAAATATAAAATGTTAAACAGACGAATTTCTTAAAATTTTGACGAATTTGCCAAATAATCAAATTACAATAACAACATCAAAAAAAATATCAACAACAACAACAACAACAACAACAACAATAATAATAATGATAACAACAACAACAACATCAACATCAACAACAACAACAACAACAACAACAACAACAATAATAATAATAATAATAATAATAATAATAATAATAATAATAATAATTAGTAGGTTTTGTGAAAAATTAACTCAAAATGTATATGTTGTATTAGTTTTAGTAGTTTGGAGCAAATTACTGAGTTATTATATAATTTTTTTTTGGTATTTTGATTAAAGTTAAAATGTTAAAGTGACGAATTTGTTAAAATTTTGACAAATTTATCAATAATCAAATAATAATAATAATACCAGGACTATGTGGTCCAATGGTATCCAGGTTGGACTTTTATTTGGAAGGTTGTAAGTTCGAGCCTCAGTGGAGGCGTTATTAGCTCTTTGTGTTTCAGTAGGTTGAGAAAGTATATGAACAGATATTACATTGTAATAGAGCTAGTAGCATTCAATAATAATAATAATAATAATGTTGCAAAAATCGCGCCTAGGTCGCCGGTTCGGCAGTTTAATTATTATTATTATTTTTTTTTTGTTGTAAAAGTGTTAAAAGTTCGGGAAGGCATAACTTTTGACTCAGTTGTTCGTTTTGGACAATAAAATGCTTCTTTTGCTCTTAATTTTAATTTTTTATGTATTTAGATGGGTTCAACAATATTCAAAACGATTTTACAACCACTGATGTAAATAATTTGTAAGAAAATACTAAAAAATCTTATGTTTTATTAGTGAATTTCACAATTTTTAATTTTAACTTTTTTTATTTTTAAAAAAAAAAAAATCGGCGCCTAGGGGGCGCCTAACGTTTTTTGCAACCTTGAATAATAATAATAATAATAATAATAATAATAATAATAATAATAATAATAATAATAATAATAATCCAAACAAAACGATATATAAAATAAAATTAAAATTAAAAAAAAATAAGAAGATTACAAAAGGGAGCCACTGGAATTGTAGTTCATCAATTCTGAAATTTTAGTTCATAGATTCTGGAATTTTAGTTCATTCATTCTGGAATTTTTAGTTCATAGATTAGATTCTGGAATTTTAGTTCATCGATTATGGAATTATAGTTCATCGATTATGGAATTATAGTACATCGATTCTGGAATTTTAGTTCATATGTTGTTGCTGGAAATCGAACCTGAATTTTTTTTTAAAGGGGAGACGCGCATTTTTAATAAAACGACGTCGTTTTTGCATCCGTATGCACCATGCATGGTGCATACGGATGCACACCATAATTTGCCGATCAATGTGGGCAAGTATTGAGAAGTCCAAAGTCTTTTTTTTTTTTAGAAGTAAAGGAAAATTAAAAATGGAAAGAAAATATTACAATAATAATACTAGTATTTACGCCCGTGCGTTGCACGGAATGAATTTGTTATAATATTTTAAAAATATTTACATATACAATTGTATAAATTATACCATCGAATATTATATAATATAATTGAAGAATTGAGTTGCACCGGTTATGTTTTCTGATGTTATCAATGCTTGAATTCGAGTAAATAATTGCCCGATTAATAGCTAACGTGTAGATATACGCTTTCGGTGCTGCAACTTTAGAGATTTTATATATCAGGATGGGTGACTCTGAAAAAAGTCACATACAATTAACCGTGATTAAAGACTGGTATTTTCAGTAATAACTCAACGTGAGTTAGTGTTTGACCCTGACTTTTGTTGATAGTCATGGCATATGCGAGCATCAACGTGAATTGTTTTCGTTAAAACTTGAAGGGCAATCTCGTATCAGAAGGGTGAAAGACATTTTAATTGAAGATTTTACTTTTATTAATAGTATATATATAGATTGGTGTAAATAATAATTAATAAATTATTATTTCCTTATAAAATTACATAGAATTTCAAATGATTTTTCTCATTTATTACGCAGAATTTGTTTCCGTTATTCTCACAATTATAATGGCTTAATTATTCTCAGAATTTGATAACTCATTTTCCATTTTATGTACATATTAACTTTAATCTGCGGTAACAATTCATTAGATATTAGTTAATTTTTATATAAAATTTTGTTACCAATCAAGCCTCAATGGAGGCGTTATTAGCTCTTTGTGTTTCAGTAGGTTGAGAAAGTATATATGAACAGATACTACAATGTAATAGAGCTAGTAGCATTCAAAAAAAAAAGTACATATTAACTTTAATTTGTGATAAAAATTTATTAGATATTAGTTAATTTCCATATAAAATTTTGTTACCAATTAAGCTTTATTAATTTTTTTACCAATTAATTAATATTCATATAAATTTGGGCGGGAATGTTGAAGATGAGGATTTTAATTTTATTAATAGTATAATATAAATTGGTGTAAATAATAATTAATAAACTATTATTTCTTTATAAAATTACGCAGAATTTCAAACGAATTTTTTCGTTTCTTACGCAGAATTTGTATCCATTATTTTCACAATTATAATAGTTTAATTATTCTTAGAATTTGGTAACCATTTTCCATTTTTATGTACATATTAACTTTAATCTGCGGTAACAATTCATTAGATATTAGTTAATTTTTATATAAAATTTTGTTACCAATTAAGCATTATTATTTTTTTACTAATTAATTAAAATTCATATTAATTTGGGCTGGAATGTTGTAAAGAAGGATTTTACTTTTATTAAAGTTATTTCACTAAGGAAATTAAAACAAATTAAAGTAAATCTAATTATGCTATGTTTATTCGTAACTGTATATTAATTTCATTTTGAAATTATTGGTTCACATATTTGAATTATTCATTTTTTCTTTAATTATTCTCGTTGTAAACATAAATGATATTATTGTAATAATTAATTTATGATATTTATCAAATTTTATTTTTAAAAAATATAACATTTACACATGTTGTGAGGGGTTAAATAATATTTTGAAATTATTTTTTATTAGTATGTATTTTTATTTTAAAATATTTTCCAGCAATCCAAACACTCTCTTAGCCTCCCATAAAAAAATTGATAAATAAAAGTCATTTTATTAAGAAAATTAAAACTAATTAAAGTAAATCTAATCATGCTATATTTATTTGCAACTATATATTAATTTCATTTTGAAATCATTGATTCATATATTTGATTTTTTTTAATTATTATAATTTATAAACAGAAATGATATTGTACTAATTAATTTATGATATTTATCAAATTATATTTTTTAAAAATATAAG